CTGCTGTGAATATGATATACAGTGTCGGTCCAAGCACGCTGCCTTGCGGTACACCAGCTTCAATTGGATGATATTCAGAGAGGAAATCTTTGCATCGTACTGCGAAACTTCTTTGCTGTAGGTATGACTCCATTATTCCATGGATGTTCTGTGGAAGTAATATTTTGATTTTGTGGATTAAGCAATCTAACCAAACGCGGTCGAAAGCCTGTGCGACATCCAGAAAAACAGCGGAGAAATACTCCCGTCTTTCAAATGCATTTCGTATCTCAGAGGTTATACGGTTTACTTGTTCAATGGTTCCGTGTTTTTCGCGAAATCCAAATTGGTGAGTCGGGATGGCACCGTTGATGTGTAGGTGTTGTTTGATACGATTCAGGAGCAGCTTTTCAAATATCTTTGATAGGCAAGGCAGTAGGCTGATAGGTCTATATGATGATGGCTTGGACTTGTCTTTTCCGGCTTTATGGATCATTGTGATGACTGATTTCCTCCATTCTTGAGGATAATAGCCCCATTTCATCATGCTGTTGAATATCATAGTAAGAAAAATACACTGCACAGCTCGGCAATTCTATGATCATTTTAGGAGAGATGAAATCGTGGCCCGGAGCTTTCTTTTGCTTTGAGATTTGGTCTTTAATGACCCTTGTGACTTCTCCTGTTTGGAATATGATAGGCGGAGTAGCTTGGGATTGTTGGTTGGTAGGAGCAATAAGCTATTCGTTGCTGGGTGCGGTTTGAAGACGTTTTCTAGATGGACGGCAAATGTATTTGCCTTCTTTGTTGCTGCGAGCCCACTCTCCTGTTTGTGTACGCAAAGGTGATTCACTCTCGATTGGTGGGCATACGCCTGATTTTGCTTTCCACAGTGGGAATCGTTTGCTAGTTGGGGAGAGTTGCTCCATATAGGATATTTGAGCTCGGTTTTTTTCATCTTCTAGGGCTCTGCGTAGTAGGTGGTTGGCTATTTTTAGCCGCTCTTTCGATGCAGGTGATCTGTGTGCTTGCCACTCTCGGCGAAGCCTTCTTTTATCGCGTAGCAGCACTTCAATGTGCCTAGAAATACGACTACTGTTGGAATGTTTATTAGATGCTAATATTGGTGTTGAGTGTTTTGCCGCCAGTGACATTGAGGAAACCAATGCTTCGACTGACCTATCAATGTCATCTTTACAATTAATGTTTGGGCAGCTATCAATATGAGAGCTTATGTACTTCCTGTATTTGAGCCAATATGTTTTGCTAGAAGTTAGAAAGTGTGGGCGTTCCGAATGCTGTGGATGGTCGTAAAGGTGAAGTAGAATGGGCGAGTGATCCGATGATAGATCTGTTAAGTGATCTACATTAATCTGAGCTTGCAGCACCCTTCGTGTAACTGCAAAATCAATCAAGTCGGGTTGCTTGTTTGGATCTGTGGGCCAATATGTGGGCTTGCCCGGAGAGATAAAGTCTAGCTTGTTTCGTGGGGTTATTATAGCGTTATATAGTTGTCTTCCTTTCGGGTTGGTAAGTCTAGATCCCCAATGGGTGTGCTTGGCATTGTAGTCACCAGCTGCTATAAATCGGTAACCTAGTAGGTCGAAAAATGTTACAAATTCTGTTTCGGAAATGCAGAAACGTGGTGGGCAGTATACTGCGGCTAGGTTTAGGTAGCCGCTCTGAATTTCAATATGAATTGCTGTTGCCTGTAGATAAGGTGTAGCAAATGAAGGCAATGGATAATGCCTAATGCGATTCTTGATCAGAACGCCAGTACCTCCATGTGCCTTACCATCGGGATGATTTGTCGCATAGAAGTTATAGCCATTGAGGTGAAAATAGTTTTTATTTGTTAGGTGAGTCTCTGATATGAGCATGGCGTCAATGTCGTGTTGAGCGAGGAACTGTAAGAGCTCGCATTTGTGCTGAGAAATGCCATTTGCATTCCAGAAACATATATTTAGACAGGACATTTAAACAGATTTCTGTTTGATTAGGAGCTCCAGGAGGAGATTTTGGTTGCGCATAAGCTCCTGCATCGTTTGTTGTATTGCTACCATTGTATTTGTTATAGTTACCAGCATTGATTCAATTCCACTAGGCAATTGGGATGGATTAGCAGGGGTATGTTGGGCAGAGATTTCTGGGATCTGATTTGATGCCTGATTCTGCATTATTCCAGCTGTGGTTGGTTGAAGTGTCGGCTTAGAGACTGAGGCGTACGACCCGTTGTTGTAACTTAACGCCTGAGCAAAAGAAACTCCTGGAGTCGTAGTTGATGGTATATATGTTAAGTTTTGTCGGACGACCGGGTTACGAGCTGCAGTTATTTGTTGGTTTAGGCGATTTTTCAATTCTTTATAGACAGGACAACCTCTATAGTTGGCAGTATGGTTTCCCCCACAGTTGCTACATTTTTTGGCAGATGGGTCCTCCTTATTTACGGGGCAGGCCTCAGTGAGATGAACATCACCACAGGCAACGCAGACTGCCCGTAGAGTGCAATAGGTTTTCGTGTGTCCATATTCCTGGCAATTTGTGCATTGGACCGGTCCATTTCGTTTGTGTGGTTCCTCAACGGTGATCCTACGGTGCAGTAGGTATTGAAGCTTGTATATTGGGTGAACTTCATTTTTCCTTATATGCATACTTTCAGGTGTCAGTTCTACTTTGAACATTGGCTGGGGAATTTTGTTTCTATTTATTATGTTCATTGCCATTTTGACTTCGAAGCCCTTATCGTTAGGTCCATCTATTCTCTCATTGATTGGGACTGTTGGTTCGATTCCTTTGATAACCACTTGTAATCCTTTGCTACTTTTAAGTTGGTAGGTGTAGTAATTCATTTTTTCATTTTCGAGATATTTCGCAACTGATCGATAGTTTTGTTCGTCATTGACTTGTATTTTTGTTTCATTTATATTACCCCTTTTTATGTACGTGACATGGAATGTATTTGCGCCAATTGTATCAGTTATTTTTTTGACCAGTTCAGCACAATTTGCCTGTCGAACATAAATAGGTGGCGGTCTTAATTTTGGCCTTGGGTGTTTGGGTGATCTCATCTTCATTTGGGACACTTAGTATCGCAAATCTATTGTTTGCTAGTGCCTTATGTGGCACAGTGTTCTCGGTTATTTTAGTTATTTTAGCTGCATTGTTGTTCTTCACATTTTGTGGGCTCAATTTTCTTTTGATTTGCACATAGCGATCGAGCCCAGTCTGAATTAACGCTCCGTTAGCATTTTTTGAACTTATTGGTTGGGAGAGTTGGGGCTTGTCGCAGTGGGTCGACAGTATCGGGCGCTGGGCAATTGCAGTGGTTGTTGTTGTGGTTGTTGTCGTTGTTGTGGTCGAAGACACAGTTTTGAGCGAGGGCATTGTACTAGTTGTTGTCGATATTAGCAAATCGCTGGTTAGGCAGTACGAGTCGGGGGATGGGCACTGAGCACTCCATGACCCACTTTGCAATGCAGGGGAGAGAGAGCGTGCTCTCTCCTCGTTCACTTGCAATGATGCAGTTTTTGTTGGTACTGCTGCCTTTGGCGAGCGTATAGAGAAGTACGCGTTGCTTTTTGCTTGCGAGAGCCGACGCTCGTCTTGTTGTTGTTGCCGGGCTTGGCTCATTTTGGCTTTGCTTACAGTGCTTGTGTTCTTTACCGAGCTGGTGCTCTTAAACGTTGACACTTGTTCTTTTCTATTATTTCTATTAGTCTTTATTACTCGATTGGATGGTATTCATGGGCAGCACGATCGCTAGTACCCATGCCTACCCCGAGCGCTTTTTTCGCGAATTTAATTTATGATTAATCGCGATTAATTGACTTTATTGAATTTTCACCGCGGAGCGATTAAAAAATACGTCTGTAGTCGTTGACGGTTGATATGGAAGGGCTCCTTCGTCAACAGCCCCGTCAGCTCTCGCCACTGTATCACAATGGCTCAATCCGCCACCTCATTCGCTCGGACCAAATTGGTCGCCGCTATTGGCCGACTGATGCACCTGGCAGAGCGCATCACCGCCGCCCCATCCGCATCTTTGTCCAATGTCCGTCGAGGCCAAATCCTCAGCATGTGGACGGACGTCGAGGCCGAATATAAGGCCTGCTCCGCGGCGATGACGGACGAGGAGCCAGAAATCCAAGCGGACATCCGTGACACATACGGCGAATGCTATGGGGTATTTGAGCAGTGTCTCAGTGACCTCAATGCCCAACTGGCTGCATCCACAGTCCTTCCTCCTTCACAGCCAGTCCAACAGGGCGGCTGTCGACTGCTCTCCCGTCAACATTGAGGCATTTCGATAACGTCCGCTGGCCCACATTCAGGGATTTGTTCACTGCGGTCGTGACCAACAATCCTAGATTGTCTCCGTTAGAGAGGCTGTATTACCTCACCGAGAAGACCCGGGGCGATCCGAAGGCCATCGTAGAGAAATCCCCCCTCACTAATGAGTACGAGTTGCATGTTGGTTGGCTCCGCAGCCGATACGAAAATAATCGGCTTCTGGTGACCAACCAAATCAACATCCTCTTTTTTTTGCCCCGCGTAACATCCGAATGCAGTCGTGCCTTGAAGGATCTTCAAAAAACGATGCAAGGAGTTCTAAATGGGCTAGCGGTCTCCAACGTCTGCACGGACAACTGGGATAGTCTGCTTGTCACTATTTGCGCTTCCAAATTGCCGAAGTTGAGCCGGGCGTTGTGGGAAGCGTCCGTAACGGACAAAAAAGAGGTGCCGCCCTGGACGGAAATCGACTCCTTCCTTACTCAGCGCTATCTGACTCTCGAGGCTATTGAGAGCGACCCTTCCACCTCACGAGGGGCTACTAATCCGCCTCCCTCCAAGGGCGTCCAAAATCCACCCACCTCTCGCAACCACTCCAATCCATTCCGTTCGCAAGGCAGTCCGACGCCAAACAAGGTTCGATCAATACCCAAGTGAGTCCGAAGAAGCGAACGTGTGACCTCTGTTCCAAAGAGAATCACCCGATTCGAGTTTTTCCCCGCTTTCTCAACATGTCCGTTGATGTACGTTCCAGCTGCATTAAGAAAAAGCAGCTGTGCTTAAATTGCTTCGCAAGAGGTCATCTGCTTCGCGATTGCTCCAGCAGCCACAATTGTTCCACTTGTGGGGCCAGGCATCACACGCTTCTGCATCGTGCCGCTCCTTCATCCAGCGTAGCGGCTTCGACTTCCGCCCAAGCCCCCAGCTCATCCGAACCTCAGCCCAACGTACAGAGCTATTTCACCTCCAGCACAAGTACCGTTCTTCTGGGCACGGCACTCATTAATATTTGTCACCTGGGGACCAATTTCCGTGCCCGCGCACTAATTGACTCAGGCTCCGAGGCGACGTTCATCACTGAACGTCTCTTTAACATTATTAAGCCACCGTTCGAAGCCATACAGGCTCAAGTCGCAGGTTTAAACCAAACCGTAGCGGCTAAGGCGCAAAGGCGCTGTCACTTCATGATCGGGGCCGCCTCCAGACCTGGCCTCCAAATCGAGACCATGGCATATGTTCTGCCTCAATTAGCAGGAAACCTTCCCTCATATCCGATACCGCAGCACTTCTTGGACAAGCTTCCAAATCTCCCGCTGGCAGACCCCTCCTTCTACCGAAGCTCGCAGATTGATGTGCTTTTAGGCGCTGACATCCTTCCTTCTATCCTGTTGAGCGGCTTCCGGTCTGACATTTGCGACTCGCTGCTAGGACAAGAGACCATCTTCGGATGGGTCCTATCCGGTCCGGTATCAGCTGACTCGACTCGGACGGTTTCCGCCTTCACCACGAAGCTCTCGTTAGATTCGGACGTCCGACTCGAGAAGCTTCTCACCAAATTCTGGGAGGTGGAGGACCTTCCGGGGAAGCCGACGAGTGAGTCAGATTCTGTGTGCGAGGAAAACTTCCGCAAGACCACTAAACGAGCCCCCGATGGGAGGTATATTGTTACTGTCCCTTTCAAGTGTCCAGAAAATGTCGATCTAGGATACTCCAGGTGCGCGGCACAGGCCCAGCTCAAAGAGCAGTACGACGCCGTTATCCAGGAATATTTAGAGCTAGGCCACATGACAGCGGTTACACCCAGTCATTACTCCGGCCATTACTACCTTCCACATCACGCCGTGTTTAAACCCGACAGCACCACAACCAAACTGCGCATGGTCTTCAACGCCTCCAGCCCGTCTTCCAACGGGAAAAGACTCAACGACACATTGCATTCGGGGCCAGTCCTTCAGTCTGACTTGACTATGCAAATCCTGAGGGCGAGTCCCTAGCGAGTCTTCCGCTATGTCTTCAATGCCGACATCAGCTAGATGTATCGCCAGATCCTAGTGTCTTCCCAACACACGCCCTATCAGCGAATACTCTTTCGCGACCGTAATGGGGACGTGTGTGACTACGAGCTTGCCACTGTCACCTTCGGAGTCAATTGCGCACCGTACCTCGTCCTTCGCGTCATTAAGCAACTCGCACAAGAGGAGCACCCACAGTTGCCAATGGCAAGCGACATCCTGGAGAGCTACATGTACGTGGACGACGTGCTGGCTGGTGTGCACACTCAGTCGCAGGCAATCTCCGCCATTTCAGAATTACGCAAAGCGCTCGATTCCGCAGGGTTTCCACTCCGAAAGTGGACAGCGAACCACAAGGGCGTACTGCGCGACATTCCGGTCGACCACCCACTTCGAGCTGACTTCCTAGAACTTGACGAAAGTAGCATCGCTAAGACATTGGGGATCCGATGGCAAGCCAGTGCCGATGAATTCTTCTTTGCTCCTCCCGAAGTACTTCAGCGGGAGTCCTGCACGAAGCGCAATGTGCTATCGCAGATTGCGCAGCTGTTCGATCCAGCGGGATGGCTTGCCCCCTCTGTCATCCAAGCCAAAATGTTCATGCAGGAAATTTGGCTAAGAGAGTTAGGGTGGGATGACGTCCTCCCTAGCGATCTATCTCACACCTGGGAGACGTTCCTGAAGAGTTTTCCGGCCATCCAGGATATCCGCATTCCGCGGTGGTTGCACGTTTGTCCAATGGCCAAGGTGCAGATACATGGTTTCTGCGACGCGTCTCAACGTGCCTATGGGGCAGCGATTTACATCCGAGTTGAGCGACCGCAGGGCATTGTCTGTGCCCTTCTCACAGCTAAAACCCGCGTAGCCCCCGTGAAAACGGTTTCCTTGCCTCGACTCGAACTGTGCGGAGCCGTCCTTCTGACAGAGCTTTCCGAGGCCATCCTTCCACAACTGCCACTGGACACCAGCCAAGTATCCTTCTGGACCGATTCCACGTTTGTGTTGGCCTGGCTGAACCGACCTGCATGCGATTGGACCACTTTCGTGGGCAATCGAGTAGCCAAAATCACTCGATGTTGGCCCAGCGAGCGATGGAGCCACGTCCGATCCGAGGACAATCCGGCCGACCTGGCCAGTCGAAGGCTAGGACCCTCTGACCTGGTTGGAAGTGATATGTGGTGGCATGGCCCTGCTTGGTTGCGTGGTCCAAAATCGGAGTGGCCATGTCCGCGGGACTCAGTCCTGGAGACTGACCTGGAGAAGCGAGTCGTCAAGGTGCACCATGCCACCAGCAGCGCCTCCGACATCCTCAGCCGTTTCTCCGACCTCGGGCGCGCTCTGCGCGTGATCGCCTACGTTCGGCGGTTCACTCAGCGAGTTAAAGGGCAGACGACCCATGTCTCCAAGGAGCTGAACGGAAATGAGGTCGCTGCCGCTCTCCAGGCGGTCACACTGACAACCCATCGCTTCCATTATGCTGGGGAGCATCGGTGCCTGCTAAACAAACAGCCACTCCCTACTACGAGTTCTCTTCTGAATCTTAATCCGTTCCTTGACCAGAACGGAGTCATGCGGGCATGTGGCCGAGTCCAAGCCTCGGCGTCCATGTCCTACAACGAACGACATCCAATCCTGTTGCCACCCGCATGTCTCCTGGTTCGCCTGCTGGTTCGATTCACCCATCATATATCGCTACATGGTGGGAACCAGCTGGTCATTCGCCTTATCCGGGCAACATACTGGATCCCTCGACTACGTCACGTAGTGAGGGCAGTGATTCATTCTTGTAAGGTCTGCGTCCTCCATCGTAAACGACTCCAAACCCAACTAATGGGCGACCTTCCTGCATCATGAGTCACATTCTCCAGACCGTTCACATACACCGGAGTTGACTTCGCCGGTCCCTTCGACGTTAAAAGCTTCACAGGTCGCGCCTGTCGCATCTCAAAGGGGTATGTGTGCGTGTTCGTCTGCTTTTCCACGAAGGCCATCCACTTAGAGGCCACGTCCGACTTATCCACCGACACCTTCCTAGCCGCCTTCGCTCGTTTCGTAGCGAGACGAGGGTGTCCTCATGAAGTCCAATCCGACAACGGCAGGAATTTTGTCGGCGCGTCCCGCTCTCTGGCTGTGGATCTTCTCGAGGCAATTCGCACTCGGACTTCTGCGGTGTACAGCCAGCAGGGGCTATCGTGGCGGTATATCCCTCCCGGAGCCCCACATATGGGGGGCTTGTGGGAAGCAGGTGTGAAGAGCTTCAAGGCTCTGTTCCAACGGTCGATGTGTACGTCCAAATACACTTTAGAGGAGTTCGCGACCTTTCTTTCGAAATTGAGGCAAGTCTTAACTCGCGACCAATCTCTCCTATGTCTGAGGATCCAACGGATCCGTTGGCCTTGAGCCCAGGCCATTTCCTGATTGGTGGTCCGCTACTATCCGTGGCAGAGCCAGAAATACAAGCGAGCGCCTCCTCCATCCTAAACCGCTGGCAACATCTCAAGGCTCTCAACCAGCAATTCTGTTCGCGCTGGAAAACAGAGTACCTGCGAGAGTTGCACAAGCGCAACAAATCGCAGCATCCGACAAGAGACCTCGAGGTTGGAGACCTCGTGGTGATCAAGGAGGAGAACATCCCCGCTCAGGAATGGCGTCTCGGCCGTGTGCAGAACGCGTATCCTGGAGCCGATGATAAGGTCCGTGTGGTAGACCTACTCACGGCCCGCGGCCTTATCAAGAGACCGATCACGAAGGTGGATCTGCTGCCTATGGAATCGGATGTATTGTCCACCTACTCGCGCGGAGGCTCCGATTCATAAGCCTCCGTCCTTTTGTTCTGATTAAATCCAACGTAGTTACCCGTACCCGTATCCGTGACTGTATGCCAACCCATGCCAGCTCTTTACTAATGCTCCGGTGATTCCTTTCTTTCATCCTAGTTTTTTCCAGAAGGCAGATATGGCCCCTCAAACCTCATCACGTTCCCGATCCAGCCGCAGGTCGGATCGCTCACGGGCACGACGAAAGACGTCCTTCCAATGTCGAGTGTGCCCCGGAGCTCACCCACTGAGGAACTGCCGGAAATTTATCCGGTTGAGCGTCGAGAAGAGGCTCCGAGCCGTCCTCCTGCATAGATATTGCTCGAACTGCCTGGCTCACGAGCACTCGGGCAAGGACTGCCGCAGTGGAGACCTATGTAAGGTGTGCTACCGGAACCACCACACTCTGCTCCACCTGCCCGGGTCTCGGCGCCCTGCTGGCTCCTCTTCGGCTCCGTCGACTTCACCTCCGTCTTCCCGCGCCAACCTACGCCCTCGTCTTCCGGTCAGCCGCCCTGTCGTCGGAAATCCGGTTCCGACAGCAAACTCCTTGCTCCAGCACCAAAGCATCAACGTCCTCCCGACGGCAATGGTGGTCCTCGCAGGCACCAAGATGATGAGTGCGCTGATCGACCCCTGCACGCCGGTCAGCTGCATCGACGCCGAGGTGGCTAGGGAGCTGAAATTGCCCACTACTTGCATCGGGGACGAGAGGGTGTGCACCGCCATGATCCGGGCGAAGATAGGAGTGTTTAAAGTGGAGGCCGTCTTCTTCAAGCAAACAACCGGCTTTTGCACGCGATCTCTTGAATATACATATATAGTGAATGTTGGAGCGTAGAGGCATCAAAGTTCCACAGGTCAGAATCCCAAATTAAAGACGTTAGGCAGTTCCAATTTCTTCAAGTATATTTCGGGGTTTATTCTGGTGCTTAGGTTATATATATATAGGTATGTTTCGCGTGCAAAAGCCGGCCGTTTGCTTGTGGGTGAAGAAGCGCATTAATCTAGATCGGTGGTACTCAAGCTGCCGAGGGCTGTCGGAGGCGAGATTGGGAGCGTGAGCGTGGGCGGGAGCGCAAGCGTGGTGAATATGCGCGCAAGAGCGCGTCACCGGGGGGAAAAAAGCTCCTAAGCGTGAGAGCGAGAGCGAGGGCAACAGCTTGCGTAGCTGGATTGCTAACAGTGGTGTGGCTGGAATGCCCACAGAGCTGTTGCCCCGCCAGCGCCGTCCTCACTCTAAACATTCTCCCCCCCCTTGCAGGATTGCAAAGACTCTATATGCTCCGATTTGGAAGCAAGGAGGTTGCTGCTGGATTCGGAATTCCTATGCCGGGGCGGCTTACAGGAAGACGAGGGCGCACATCGACGCTGTACGCTGAAGATGAAGGCGGCGGTGCCGCAGAGGAGCCAGATGGGCGCCGAGACTCGGGAAGGTGGAGTAACGTGTGGTGGCTCCGGTTATACACCTTACACCGATTACCGCTTCGGCAATCGTGGCCGGAGTGTCGGTGAGCCAGGCAATTGGTGCAGTAGCTGAAGTGGAGGACAGCTTGGAGCCTCCTTTCGGAATCCAGGCAGAGAAAGCGGCGGCATTTTGCGTAGAGGATGGATTTCAGAGCAGACTCGGCATTGGTAGGACTTAGTACCTCGGGAACGTCTGCTCTCCACGGTGCGGTCGAAACGGGATCGAGCAGCCATGTATGTATGTGGAAGGCTAGGGCGAAATGAAAATGTCGAAAAAGCATTAGAAGTGAGCTTGGAACGGATTACGGGCACATTTGGGACATTGGAATCTTCTCTGGTGTAGTATGAATACATAGGCAATACCCACTGTACCAAGTGTACTTAAGGGGAACACACTGTAACACTCTGTTGCAGTGTTTATGTAATTAAAAATCCCAGGCATAACTTGAGCTATCGTATTACGATCGCCCAAGAATGCCTCGAGCGACATAAATGCAGCGTTAGCATATTCCCATGACTTGACGGCACATGCATACACATACATTTACATATTCCCTCGCGCCCTCGCTGTCAGCAGCGCTGGGCATATGCACATATACACATGTATATATATATGAAATAAATAAATTCGGCCGCTCCGCTGCCGGCGTTGCTGGCGGCGCAGCTACGCTGGCCCTCAGCCAAGTAGAATTTAAGAAA